TAGCTTTATAGCATTATGATTGGAGAAGATGCTTGTTATTATTTCAATATTTTTAAATTTGTAGAGGCTTGCCTTGTTTCCCAACATATGGTCTATCCTTGAGAATGTTCCATGTGCACTTGAGAAGAATGTGTATTCTGCTGTTTTTGGATGAAGTGTTCTATATGTGTTTATTAAGTCCAATCGTTTTAGCTTTTCATTTAGCTCCACTGTTTCCTTTTTTATTTTCTGCCTGGATGATCTGTCCATTGATGTGAGTGGCATGTTGAGGTCTCCCACTATTATTGTGTTATTTTCTATATCTTCTTTTAGGTTTGTTAATAGTTGCCTTATGAACTTTGGTGCTCCTGTGTTGGGTGCATAGATATTTATAAGTGTTCTTTCTTCCTGATGAAGTGTCCCATTGATCATTATATATTGGCCCTCTATGTCTCTCTTTATCTGCCTTATTTTGAAATCTGTTTTGTCTGATATAAGTATTGTGACATCTGCTTTCTTTTGTTTGCTATTAGCTTGGAGTATTGTCTTCTACCCCTTCACTCTGAGCCTGTATTTGTCCTTGGGGCTGAGGTGTGTTTCCTGGAGGCAACAAATTGTTGGATCTTGTTCTTTAATCCATTTTTACACTCTGTGTCTTTTTATTGGAGAGTTCAATCCGTTTACATTGAGAGTGATTATTGATGCATGAGGGCTTAATGCTGTCATTCTGTCACTTGTTATCTGATTTTCCTGTGTTTCCTTTGTTTCTTGTCCTGTGTATTTTAGCCTACCCATTGACTTCTGCAATTTATTATCCTGGGTTTCTTAGATTTTTCCCTATTTATGTTTTGTGTCTCTATTCTGTTTTTTAGTTTAGTGGCTACCCTGAAATTTGTATCAGAATCTCGTGTATAACATAGTACGTTTTCTGGTGGTCTCCTACTTCCTTAGCCTAAACTGATTCAGTCCCTTTCCTCCTCCCCTCCTAAATTATTATTTTCATCTCTTATTCCAACTCGTGTTGTGAATTTGTGGTTAGAGTGAAAAGATTGTCTTTGCTTTGGTGATTTCCTTCCCTTTATCCTAATGCTATAGTTGAATATTTGCTATCCTATTCTGATTCTACCTATTTGTCTCCCTGCTCTGTGTTTTGTGACCCCTTTCTGCCTGTTTTTCTTTTTTCAGGTATGAGAGCCTTCTTGAGGATTTCTTGTAGTGGAGGTCTTTTGGCTACGAAGTCCCTTAGCTTTTGTTTGTCTGGAAAAGATTTAATTTCTCCCTCCTATCTGAAGGATATTTTTGCTGGATAGAGTATTCTTGGCTGAAGATTTTTATCCTTTAAAGTTTTGAATATGTCACTCCATTCTCTCCTAGCTTGTAAAGTTCCTGTGGAGAAGTCTGCTGAAAGTCTGATAGGGGTTCCTTTGTAGGTTATTTTCTTCTGCCTTGCTGCCCTGAGTATTCTTTCTTTGTCTTTCATTTTTGCCATTTTTGCTACTATGTGCCTTGCAGTAGGTCTTTTTACATTGACAAATGTAGGTGATCTGAAAGCTTCCTCCACACCCATTTCTCCCTTAGTCCCTAGATTTGGGAAATTCTCTTCTATTATTTCTTTGAGCACACTTTCTGCTCCATTTTCCTTTTCCATGTCCTCAGGAATTCCAATAATACTTAAGTTGCACTTTCTCATTGAGTCAGCTATTTCTCGGAGATTTTCTTCAGCTTTCTTAATTCTTAGCTCTCTTTCTTCCTCTTTCTGGAGCAATTCAGCCTGTCTATCTTCGATTATGCTAATTTTCTCCTCTATGGTGTCTACACATGCATTCAGGGAATCCGTATTCTGTTTTATCTGATCCATTGTATTTTTCATCTCTAGTATTTCTGATTGATTCTTCTTTATAGTTTCGATCTCTTTTGTGAAGTAACTCCAGAACTCATTGACTTGTTTTTCTATATTTCCCTTTACCTCATTGAGTTTTTTGATTGATAGCTACCCTGGATTCATTGTCACTTAGTTTACCTATTTCCAAGTCCTCAGGACATAATTCTGTGTTTTTATTGTTTTTCTTTTGGTCTGGAGCTTTTATAAATTGCTGGATGGTAGAGGAGCGGTTTTTGCTCATGATGCTATTATTCGGTTGCAGTTACAGCCTTTTGCCACTAGATTGGGGTCAAGAGCCATGCGTTCTGAGCCCTCCACCCTCAGCTGCAATGCAGCGGGCAGTGCAGGTTGGGGCAGGAGGGGCACTTTCTTTCATGCGCAGACCTGGATTCTGATCAGCTCTCCCTCTCTGGTTTCCTGGGGCCCTGGCTTGATGGGGTCCTCCCATGTGAAAGCTTTCCCCTGTTAGAGGGTTTCCGCCACACAGGTGGTGGGAGTCCTGGACGATCCCCCGACTCACGGCCCCTCCCCCACTCCTTCCCTCACCTGCAGCAGCAATCCCAGTCTCTAAGGGAGGGAGCGAAGTTCTCTCTTACCCCGTTCCAGCTCCTCCAAGGGCGGCTCCAGCCTCTCCACCCTCCATCGTTTGGCTGCTGTAGGGCTCTGACGATCTCCGTGTTATTAGGATTTTTTGGTTGGAATTCAGTTGTTCCTTTGGTTGCAGTTGGAAGGAGAGAGAGTCCCGGGTGAGCTCCCTCTGCCATGTCGCTGACGTCCCTGATGCAGTTTATTAAGTCAACTTTATTGAGATATAATTTACATAAAATAAAAGCACCCACTTCAACAGGTTTTGACAAATCACAGCTTCGTGTAATCACCACCACAATTAGATATAGAACATTTCTATCACCCTTGTTCCCCTTTGTCATCAGTCACCTCAACCCCTGGCCCATTGTAACAACTGATCTGTTTTCTCTCCTTGTAATTTTGCCTTTTCCAGAACATCCTATAAACAGAATAATATAGAATGTACTCTTTTTGTGTCTGGATGCTTTTGCTTAGCATATTTACAAAAAATGTGAGGCTCACCAATGTTGTTGCATATCTCAGCAGTTCATTTATTTTTAGTGCTGAGAAGTATTCCACTGCATGGCTATTCCACAATCTGTTCACCCACTCACCTGTTAATGGACAGCGGATGGTTCCAGGTTAGGGCTCTTATGAATAATATTGCTGTGAACATTAGTGTTCAAACTCTGAGTTGCCATATATTCTTAGTTCTTTGGAGTGAGTTTGTGGGAGCAGAATTGCAGAGTTGCATGGTTGTGAGTGGGTTTAATTTTAAGTATTGCCAACTTTCCAAAATGGCTGTATCACTTCACATTCTTATTAGCAATGTATGCAAGTTTCAGCTGCTCCACCGGAGCAACTATTAATAAGCAATTTTGTTAATACTTACTATTTTCATTTTAGTTTTCATTTCCTGATGACTAATTTAGCATTTTTCATTGCTTTAAGTAACATTATTCTTATTTCATATTAACCAAAGTTTACCTTTAAATGTTCAGTGCTAAAGAAATTTCATTGGGGGTAAATCTCATGAACTCAAATGTGTTTTAGTTAAAAAAAAAAAAAGTCTCCCCTAAATATATAGAACTATTGGGAAGCCCTGTTGCCATCTTTTCTCAGAGATTTTGGCCCTGTCACCACACAGAATTTCTGACCTCCTGCTACGAAGCACGGGGCCCCTCCCCAGTCAGGAGACCGGGAACATTGTTTTGACGAGAAACAACATTTTATTTTGCCAAAGCCTGGCTGTCTCCAGTAGGCAAGTGTGGGAGATTGACAGGTGCCTGCCCAATATCCAGTCTCCTCCTCTTGCTTTATAAGAGAATTTTCCTTTTATTCAGACTGGGACTGTAACCAGTGGAAAGATTGTGCTTCCCAGACTTCTGTATAGCAAGGTCAGCCTTGTAATAAGGGCTGGCCAGCCAGATGTGAGGTGGAATGTTGGCGGGATGTCCAGGGAGAGTGCTTAGAGGAGGCATTTCTCTGTTTGCCTTCCTCCCTTCTGCCTCCTCACTGCTTGGACCGGAGATGTGATGGCCGAAGCTTCAGAAGCCTTGTGATGCTCTTGAGGATAGAAGTAATAAGCAAAAGCTGCACACAGAAGCAGAAGGAAGCAACCTGGATCTCTAAGGAATTTGTGGAACTGCCCTCCTGGCCCTGTTTGCCTAACTCAACTTTTGTGATACGACAACAGTTTTATGAGAGGATGATGCTTATACAACTATTTTTGGGGGTTTTCTCTTTTATTCAGCCTGAACTAATGCCAAGTGCTGCTGCCAGCTACAATGCCCCTATTTCTCCCCAAGAATTACAGCCAAGGGGAGGAGATGAAAGTCAGCCAGAGCAGCTGGAAGTAGCAAGTAGCAATAGCCACTCAGAGTAGAGAAAGAAGATCCTAATCTATTGGCTGATCTTGCTTATTCTGGCAGAGAGCTCTTTTTCAGACAGGACACTATGTTCATGAGCCATCTGAAAAGTAATTAAATCACAGACATTACATAAAAATCCTTCTAGTCAATTGGCATGGTATAAAAAAACAGAGTATTGAACCAACATTCAAGGAATTGGGGTTCTAGTACTGTTTCCATGTCTAACTAACTTTGGGAAAATTGTTTATATTTTCTGAGCATTAAGGGAATAACTCTACTGCTAGCAGAAGTTACACATGCTAGTCTTCAACGTGAGCCTCCCTTTCTCTCCAATGATAGTTTACTGTGACTCCAGGTGAAGGCAACTAGAAAGATAGAGGTAAGGTAAAGTCATAGGAAGAAGCCAAAACAAGTTAAAACTATTATTTTTATATAATATTCTATGATTATTGTATATAATTTTGAATAATATTATATGTCAAGGTGACTTGAGGCTGGTCAGAGAAAACACAAATAAGCTTATTTTGGAATTGACTCTGTTCCAGCAGAACAGTGATAACGAAGTAGCCATGATACCAAGCTTTCTCTCTTCTTTTCCACGTTCAACATTTTCACTTTGTCTTATACAGGCATAGCATGGTATCTGAGTTCAGTTGTAAAAATGGGCACAATTCTTCACCCCTCTTTATATGTACCCCCAGGCTACCCTACTGTTACCTCTTTTGGCCCAACTGACAGCCATCTGGCCCCAGAAGCCAGCTGCCTATCTTGAAGCTGATCACAGAAACATGAGTGAGCCTAGTCAAGACCAGAAGAACCGCCTGGATGAGCCCAAGTGCTGACTCACAGAGTCATGAGCTAAGTAAATGGTTGTGGTTCTAAGCCACTAATTTCTGGAGCTGTTTGCTATTCAGTGAAAGCTGATACTTACTGCTGCAAATATTTGAACCCAAATTTCCTTGTCTTTTTTCCTCCCTCAAATATAAAAAAAAAAAAGGAGGCTTTTCAATATGACATTTCTTCCCAGTAAACTATCATGTCTTCTCAACAATAGGGAAGAAGTACCCTTCTGTGTTCACCTTACAGCCATCAGATTAATGGTATTTTTATTTTATTGTGCTGAAGCAAACACCTGAACATCACTGTCGTTCTCCTTTCTTCATAAATGAGTTTTCTTACTTTTTCATGCCCTGGCAGGCTTTGCTGTGAGCACACAAATCCACAGCGAGCTGCCAGTGCTTGAGGCACCCGGGCTGGGGGGCCTCCAAATACGTCCTCGCCCACCATCGCGCCCTGTCAAAGCTGGCTATCTCCAGCAGTCCATTTTCACAGCTGTGGCCTTCTGAAGTGGGCTCCCCTCAATGCAGGAAAATAGCAGATTGCTTTTATGTTCAAGCATCAAAGTTTATTTTTGAAATATGTTTGCCTTCTCATGAACTTCTTGAGGTTTTTGTGGGTAGGTGCAGATATAAGCTAATTAAATAATTTATTTTCAGGTGCCCCACCTCATCATGCCAAGATCTGAAGGCAGCTGCAGAGGTCTCGTTCTCCAAGTGGACGGACTAGGAACCCTCCATAGGACGCAGATTTGATGGTGCTGTGAAGCCCTCTCTCAAGCATCTGCTCGTGCTCGTCACGAGGCCCGGATTCCCTCCAGCAGCTTCTTCTTTCTTCTGACCTTGAAGGTTTTGTGACGTTTAAGAGTTCCTCAGCAGAGCTCAGTCTTCCTCCCATCCTCACGTGGTGCATCGTGGGAGCTGGCTGATCCGAGTTAGGAGAAAGACCCTCTGCCACTCCCACGGTGGGACAGGTCCTGGGAGGGGCAGGCGGTGCCTGTTCACGTCTTGCATCCTGTATTTGGGGTGCTCTCATTTTAAACGTTAGAACTAGTCTTTGGAAGCGTCTGCCAATTCATAGCCACCTCCTCCAGGTCCCTCTCACACTCAGCAGATGGCAGTTTTCTTTTGTTCTTTGAGAGGCTAGTGTTCCCTCCTTATTACTTTGGCAGCAGCTTTATTTCACTGTTGAGGGGGTGTTCAAATCACGGAATTTCATAAGAATTCTTGGAGGTCCTCTCTTCTGTCTTCCCTCCTGCTTGATTTCATAAACCAGGAAGGGAGGATCCAAGAGAAGAAGTGACTTCCCTGGGCTCTGAGCCTCCCCACCGAGGGCCTTATTCCTCTCCTCAAATACCACCCCTCCACCCCCCATACTTAAGAACCCTGGGATTGGAGGAGTTTAGTTTAAGATTTAGAGGGGAAGAAAAGAAAGAGAGAAGGGAGAAAGAAGGAGAGAGAGGGAGGGAAGAAGTGAAAAAAAGGAAAGAAGAAGGAAGACACACATTTCAATGGGGAAAAAGCGTTAGAGCAAAGATGTTTGCCAGATCTTCAGACCCTCAGATGTGCCGGAGGCCGCTGCTCTGGGTGATCACGACCCCTCTCGCGGCGGGATTTGTACTCTAGCAGCAGAACTGTCAGGTTACGACAAATAGGGGTAATAAGCTCCATTTTCTTCCCCTTATTTTAGGAATAGAAATCTTGAGCGTCAGGGTGGAAAATTACAGAAGGGCATCAGTGATTCTCCCCACTAATACCTACAAGCCACCACAAGCTTCTCCGTCCTTTGTTTAAGGATCACATTGCTTTCTTTTAAGGCAGTAAGACCTTAGGGTCCCTTGTTGGGTCCTGTGGCAGCCTGGAAACCTCTGCGGCAGGGAAGGAAGGAAATCTAAAAGGAGGAGACTCCACAGGATGTAAAGAAGTCGTCTTAGTTTAGGTCTCCTGAAAGCAGAGCCTGAGGTGAGGATCGGCTGGGGGTTGTTTATCTGGAAGTGGTCCCAGCAAAGAGCAGTGAGGGAGCTGGAGAACACAGAGGAGGAGGAAGAAGAAGTTAGAAAATGATTGTTCTCGAAAATGTTCTTTGGGTTGGCTGTGTTGAAATAAGCCGATGGGAGCCTCGCCCCGCGAGCTGCGCCCTGGACCGGGACGGTGCGTGCTGTACCGGCGCCTGGACCGCTCCCGCTCCTCCCACCAGCCTCCTCTCACAGGTCTCCGCTGCGTCACCCCACGAGCCTCTTATCAAATTGAATTTTTCCTTAAGAGACAAAATAAGTCTCTTTTAAAAAGTGAAGTTGTTACACATTCAGGCTTGATCAGCTTCAAATCCTCTCTCTGCTGCCCACCGGCCATGAGGACGGGTAACGCACTCTCTGTTCCGGTTTCAGCATCCGTAAAACGGGGGTGACCCTGGCAGAGAACCCGCCTCGCACGGGGCTGGGAGCTTCAGCGAATGCGCGTGTGTGTGCGCAGCGCAGTCGTTCCAGCGCTTATGAAAAAGCTGCCCACATAGTAGCAGCCGTTTGTTACTGGGACTCCCTGACTTTTCAGGCACTTAGTCACGTGTCCCCAGTTCCCTAGAGTTCCCACTTGTGTCAGCACTTAGCGTGTTGTGCTGTGATTGTGCTGCTCCCTCTCTCCCTGCGGGACTGTGCCCCTCAGAGAAGGCTGCCCTTTCTCTTTCTTTTCATCTTTGGAAGCTAGCACAGTACCTAGCACATGGTAGATTCTCTGAAGTATGGTTTGAATGAATGAGTCAATGATTTCATAATACTTCTGGAATAAAGCCCAAACTTCTTAATGTGGCATTCAGAATACGAGTGCAGTATCACCTTTTAATCCCCTCTGCCACCTCCTGCCGCCCCGTCTTATATTCCAGCCATAAACGTGCTCTGTGCTGTTTGCTGCCGTAACTTGCTCATGCCGTTCCCACTCGTATAAAATATGCTTCTGCTCTTGCTCTGCTTGGTGAATTTCTTTCCCTGCTGAAGCCTTCCTTGAACGTCACCACTCCTGCAGGTCTTCTAGACGACCCCAACTCCCCGGTCTGAATATCCTGCTTTTTTTGCTGTGTTCTCCCAGTTCTTTGTTCTTTCGTGCGCTGCTTGTGGAAAGACCTCATGGTGGGTCACAGGCATGTCTCCCTCCCTCCTCCTCTGGTTTGTCAGCTCCCCCTGGAGTGAGGGCGTCTAGACTGCCAGATATTCCATAAATATTTGCTGAATGTTAATGCCTATGACTTTGCTGCTGTGGGTGATGTTTAGATTTCTGTCTGCCACATCTCCTCAGGGTTCAGTAGGTTATTTCTCCTGTCCAAGCTAATCAAAGATATTCAATAATGCTGACTAGCTGGTCTGTGCCTGGTGGAGTCGCAGATCATTAAACTTTATCCCCGGTGTTCAGTGAGCTGTTCACTAAGCCAGATGTTTTCAGGGCACTCCTTTTGCTGTTCTTCTCTGTACTGTCTCCTCAAAGTTGAGCCAATGGATCTGAAATATGCTTGTGGGGCTGGAAACCGACATGTGTAACATCCTATTTGAAGTTTTTCTTGAGTTAGCCCCACTTATTTTTATTGACTTATTTTGGAGTGGAAAAATTATAACTTTATTTTCACTAACCTCAAACTAGAATTTATAATTTTATTCAAATTTGAATGCAGATGGAAAAGTACTGTCGCATCAGCAGTACGTCTGATATTATCAAAATAAATTACAGATGTTTTCGTACCACAGTGCACATGTGCAGATACCACTTATCTGATCTCTGCCTCAAAATTACGGGACACAGTGATGAATTGGCCCAATTTATTTTTATATGTTGGAGTTTTCCCCCATTCTTTTCATAGAAGAGGGGATTTTGACATTTGTGAAGAAATTAGGTTCTTGTAGGTAATTCCTTTTTGTTTTCTGGGTGGATCCCAACACTGCCTTGTAAGAATAAACAGTTTCATAGTCTCAGATTGATATTCATCTGAGGTTTTGTCTGTGTGTGTATATGGGCACAGACGTTTAGAGCCTGGCTTGGGGACAGGTAAAGAAGAGTACTAACGAAATACTCCCTAATGAAGGGCACTGGGACACCAGATGTGGCCGTGCACTCTGCTAGCTGCCTGCTCCGCTCAGTCATCACGGGTCAGAGACCAGACACCAGACAGGCCCCAACAGCAGGCTCTGTTCCTGAGCCTGTGTCTCCTGACTTTCCTGTGTCCCCCTCCCTCAAAGCCTAGACACTGCATCAAAGTGTTTTCAGGGTTATTATCTTCTTCACTGGGCTTAGTTGACGTGAAACCAAAGAGAAACAGGTAATCCTCTTCTACATTCTCTGGGGTCTAATTATTCTCCTACATGGCTTAGATCTAATCACCAAAGCTATGTGCACTCACACGTGCACACACACACATTCACAGATGAAATTGCTTCAAGAAGATAGTAACGAAAGCGTACACTTTTGTGCCTGGTATTTCAAACATTTACTTTGCATTGATATATATGTTAAATCAAGTTGACAAGTCTTAACTTCAAGTATAAAAATTAGCAACATGTTTTAATTTAAAACTAATATTCACAACATGAAATAGATGGATGCAATATGTATTTGTTTTTATGACAACTTTGACTGTGCATGACAGGCCCAGAGTACAGTCATGCTCCATAAAGTTCCTAAGTGCCGCAGTTGCAGATGATCTTCCAGAGGTGTCGCTATCACGTAAAATGACAAACAGAGATGTTACCTTCTGGATGGTCGCACAGTAACAATAGGTTATATTTCTAAGAGTGTTGGCTGTCTGGAGAAAGAGCTACTATGCAGCGTCATTTCAATCCGACCTTACCACCACTAGGAGGTATTATTGTTCCCATCCTATAGCTGAGGAAATGGAGGTTCAGAGAACTTTTAAGTAACTTGCCCAAGATTACAAACTGGTAAACAAATCTGAACTCAGATGTGTCGGGTTTCACAACTCATGTACGCACAAATATGTCACCATACTATCTCCTCTAATAATAATTGTCCTTTCTTATTTAGCACCTACTTTCTAATCTCCAGACTCTCTGAGCAAAGCTGGACGGCTGTAGAAAGACAGATGGCTCCAAGGATACTTTGTTGGGTGTGAACCAAGTGAGTTACATGTACTTTATCCTTGATACTATTTCTTAAAGAAAAAAATCTACAGAGATGAAGTTAAATGAGTAAATCCAAAATATATTTATTACCAAAACTTGTACCAAACCCTTCTTTCCTCCTGCCTGACCATAATCTCTGACTGTCTCCTGTGTCTCGGTCACTTAATCTCTGCTCTGTTTTGTATTCCGCCCCCAGGTAAATCTTCATAAAGCATGATGCTCTTCCCTTCAAAAACCTATGGTTTAAAATTCCAAGTTCAGATCTCTCATCCCCCTGGATAACTAGAGTATGTTGTTTATACTACTCATCTGATACTTAACTTATACCATCTTGGGATTTAACAATATGTACACAATTTACATTTCTTTACAGAATGTAAGCACTTGAAGGATTGAGCCATTAAGTATGTGACCAAAGTAAACACTTCATAAATAATTATCAAATTTGGAATTTTCCACTAGGAAGCAGAAAAGGCATTATTTTTGTTCTGTGGATTATTTTGCTCTTTAACTGGGCTCAGCCCAGCCATGCTGTGCGTTCCTGAACACCTCAAAAACTCATCATCGTCTCCTCTTGGTTATTCACCCGGGTCTCCCTCCCTCCCGATTTCGGCCTCCATTCCTTGGGCTCTTCTTCCACAACCGCTTGGCTCTGCCCACCAGCTGCTGAGTCCTACCTTTGGTCTTGCTGGATGTGATGGCACATCTGGTCTCATATTGTTCTCCAACTCTGGTTCTTGGCATCCTGTCTTGGACCCAGTCATTATCAACTGTCTTATAATTTATGCAGATAATTCTAGCTATTCTGTCCATCATCATCTGGAACTAACACCCTCTGAACAAGCCCACCCAACTCCCTGCCAGAGAACAAAGACCAAAGGCATTGTCCGAAATACTTAACATACTTAGAATTCATTATCCACTGAGTATTGGGTGGGTTAACAGAAAGGAGACAACTGAGTTTCTTAGACAACGAAGTGTGGGTTGATTAGAATGCATTAGAAAGCCATCCCTCCTTGAGCTAAAAGGGGATGCAAGGAAAACAGGCCATAAAGAGTAATAGAAAGATCCTTAACTTTGGAGTACAGACACAAAGGTTCCACTTCTAGTACTGTCACATGCAGATAACAATATCTAATATGTGTACCTTGAGGGCTGTGGAAAGGGTCCAGCGAAATGAGAAGTGTGAAAGTTCTTTTCCAACCATAAATATTACAAGATATAACTAAAAGACCGAGGCCCTTCTCTGTGTTTTTCCCACGTGGAAAACGAGGACGTTGGATCAGAGTATCGTAGATCCTTGCAGCACCAAGGAGACAAGCTTCCATCTCTCCAAGTCTGAGAGCTCTTCCAAACCTGTTTCTTCACACAGGGACAGTCTTGAGATCATTCCTTCTCGTCTTCTGAGGCTTCACAGATGCAATAGCAGGGCACAAAGAGGTTACCTGGCCTGCTCAAAGTCACACAGCCAGAAGTGAGGGATCTGCAATAGCTCATCCCTCCTTGCTCCTGGGTCAGACCTTGCCTGTACCCCTGTCCAGGGCTGCTCTGTCCCTCCCGCCCTCCAGGGCCTCCACGGGGGCGCTGGCATGCTCACGTTGTCCCCACCGTCTTCAAGTGCAGGGGAGCCATCCCATCGTTGCTTTATCCTCTGACACCAGCCATTCTTCCAGGCAATCCTGTGGCACGAGGGCCAGGCTGAGGCCTGGTGCCCACTGAACCTGCTGTAGTGGAAGCCTCTGCAGCTCCAGCGTGCCCGTCTGCCTTGCCCAGACGCCCGGAGGAGATGGTCTCCAGTAGCTCCTGGAAGGGCCCAGCCCACAGCCCAGCAGTGCAACGGAGATAAGCCCTCCCTGGGCAGTCTGCAGCTGAGGAAAAGCCCACCAACAAAATGTTCGCCCTTCTTGTTCCCAGTGGACACAGAGGCTGCAGCGTGCATGTCTGCATGTCTGCATCCCATGCAGCAGAGTGAGCACCGTGTTTCCTTGAGCAGCTCTGGTCAGTACAGTCGTACACACTTTACACTGCCTCTCCTCCCTTCCCTCCCTCACTTCCTTTTTGCTCTCACTGGCGTCCCTGAGATTGCACTCCCAAAGAGAACGCTGGCAGGAGAGCTGCGCCCTGGGTTCCGATTGTTACAGAATCTAGGCTAAAAGAGATTCCTAATGTAGAGACTTTTCACCACACTGCAGCTCACTTCTGGCAGAGGCATAGCAATGTTTCTGAGCATTTTTATATTAAAAAAATTTTATTGCCAAGCTGCGTTATCTCATCCATATTTTCCTTAGAAAAACAACTTGGTGGCAAAACATGAAGTCACATCGAAGAATTTAACCAATAATCACTTGGTTTAAAAAAGCTGTGATATTTTGCACTAATGTGATAGCATTTAAACCACATTATCCACTCTGCATACGTTTGGTGTGATCTTTGGAGAGGCAGTTTAATTAACTAGAGGGCACTGGAGGAATGTGCTAGGCAGTGTCTACGAGATTCCTGCTCCGGTATTTTACATTTCAGAACATGCAACCTTTTAGTTATTCACATTTTGTTTCTTAGCATCTTTGAAGGAGACACTATGCTTTTAAAAATAGAAAAGGGAGAAGAATGATGTGGCAACATCAAGGGCATCCCGGGCTGTAGGAGCATGAGAATGAGGCGAGCTGCCTCAGGGCCATGCGGCACCTCAGTGTGCACTGAGGAGCAGACTTCCCAGCTCGCTGCGAACTGAGGTCCAGGGAGGCACCAAACACCTGGGTGTGAAATGATTAAGTAGTGAAACCTCAGGCTGCCCAGCCCAGGGTCTATTTCTGGTAGTGAGGCTCAGAAAGTGTTAGGACCAAGGAGATTTTTTTTAATTTTTTTAGGATTAGTGAGTATGTTTTACCTTTTTACAATAAGTATTTATCACATTTAAATTTTTTGTATTGGTCTTCAGGAGCATGTACATTATCATCATTTGTTCTTATAAGACCTCTCTCTCTCTTTTAAGTTAATCAATTTATTTTTTTGAGATATAATTGATGTATAATATGTATCAGGTTTTTTTGGTTTTTGTTGAGGAAGATTCGCCCTGAGCTAAAATCCAGTGCCAAATCCTCTTTTTCTTTTTTCTTTTTTTTGCTTGAGGAAAACAAGCCCTGAGGTAACATCCATGCTAGTCTGCCTCTACTTTGTATGTGGGATGCCTCCACAGCATGGCTGATGAGTGGAGCAGATCCATGCCTGGGATCCAAACCAGCAAACCCGGACTGCCCAAGGGGAGCGCTCAGAACTTCAACCACTGGGCCATAGGGCCAGGCCTGTTGGTTTTGTTTTCTAAACATTGTATTAGTTTTAGGTGTACAGCATAATGATTTGATGTAGTCCATATTATTTAACTTTGATATTATTTGATAGGTTGTGCCTAGGGACCTGGACCTAGAAAGCTCGCTCATAAAATGCCACTTTTGTCTTTCCCTCGTCACAAGACCACTCTGAGTTCACTGGGGCATGCAGTGTGTTCTAAATAAGTATTTGATACTAAACAAATGAATGAGCAAATATGCTTATGAAGGATACGCCAGAGAGAAACTATTTTAATTTTAGATGACCTGTTCTTCAATTCATCTGGGCTAATATTCCAATAATTTACTTTAAACTTAAATAACCAGAAAGCTTGGTTTAGAGGACAATAAAATCCTTACTTTAAAAACATTTGAAGCTGTGTTTGCAGGGCCATGGGCAGGCTGTCGGCTTGCAGGCGCTGTGTAGCATCTGCAGACTGGCGCGGGAGGGGTTAAACTTCTCCGTCCCTGCGATGGAGCTTTCAGCTTGAAGGGGACGAAGGAGCTTGGGGATCGCTGTCTCCTTCTAAGCAAAGAGGAACGTGATTCTTAGGACAGCCAGAATCCCGGCCCCCAGGCCAAGCCCGGCAGAAGGCCACCTGCTTGCCGAAAAGCTCCAGCAAAAAGGAGGGAACAGAATCCTTTGGTGTTTTCCTGGCTTCCTGTGCTTCTGATCCTTCCTGACTCTGCTTCCTTCCCTCTTCACTTTTTAGAATTCAGAGATAATAATGCTATTCTGAGATAGTGTGCTTGCAGGCATCTATGTTAAACTACATTTATTTCCTTATGGCTGCAGACCCTTCGCGCAAGAGACGGGAAAATACAGGTGATGGAAGCACGGACTCAGGACTTAGACTGGGTTGAAATTGCAAGGCTGCTGCTCTCTGACTGACTGCCTTCAGGCTGGTTATTTAACATCGCCATGCCTCGGTTTCCTCATCTGCTCCTTGGCTTTTGTAAGCTTTGGGCAAGATCCTCTCTAGGTCTCATGGCTATAAAGATGCTAATAATATCGACTCCACCCGGTTGTTGAGAACATTCTATGAAATGCTGTGTGCAAAGTGCTTGCTGGCTGGCTAACAGTAAGAGCTCAATAAATGGTAGCTATTTTTTATTATTTTTTTATGCCTAAGAACATGGGAAATAGCTGCTCAGGCTCCACGAAATCTATATATGTTTTAAAACAGGACTCGGAGCCTTTGAACAAAAAGTCTCACCCCTTCTTCCTCCTCTCACTGTGTCCAGGGGCCTGTGCGCTCCCTAACATGCGCCTCACACATGAGTAAAGCCCGGATGACCGTGCTGCGCCTCGGAGCTGCCTGGACCCCTGGGATTTTGCCAGATATGCTAAATGGTAAATGCTTTGAAATATAGTAATGCTGTGCCATTCCCAGTGTGTCTCTGTTCATTTCTCTGCAGACAGTGTCTAAGTAATCAAGCATAGCATATGCTTCACTAGCACTTGCAGTTACATCAGGGAGCACCCAGATCATTTAACATCTCATTTACTTTATAGTCTAATAAGAAGCTCTTGAAATGCCCAGCTCCGCTTCAGATATCAGAAAAGAGAACAGTGGATGTGATCTCACTGTATATTTTACTGAGCTTCTCTTGGGAAAAGTCTTTGCTTGGGGAATCATCAGAATTTCCCCTCTCCAAGTTACTTTCACCGAGTTGCAATTATGTTACATTTCTTGACAAATTCTGGGTTTTTTGGTAAAATTGTAGTTAAGGAGATTCTCGTGTTACTCAGTGATGCCTGCGTGAAGTTCCAGATTTACATTTTTCTTTCAGGATTGAGGCCAGTGGAGACTCAGTCCCCGCTGGCTAGGACACGATTTCGCAATTTTCTGTGTCCTCTTTGTTTTCACTGCTGGAAGCTCAGAGCCAAATTTGATTCAATCACATTATGGAGCCATTATCCTAACCTTTGGCCTTGATTATCTTTTACTCTTTTATTAACTTTTTTATATATGTCATTGTTTTGATCTTCCTCATTTATTCCAAAAGGCAGAGTGTACGTATTAAAATAAATTACCCAAAGGACTTCCTTCGAATGGGTTGGGGTCCTCAGTCCCCCACGGCATTGTGCGCTGGGATGGAATTAGACGCTGGGGTTCTTGCCCTGTCATCAGTGAGCCTTTCTTAGGACCGAAACTCACCATGTACAGGGCTCAACTCTCTACCGCGTCAAGTCTCATTTTGCAAGCTGGAACCACTTAGGAATCAACTTTCTCATTTTGGGCAAGTCCCCAGGAAATAAAACATTAACATTAAAATGTTTTATTTTAAATTGCTATGTTACAAACAGCCCATAACAAGTAGAGCAAAAAAAAGGTCCAAAGTAATAAGCTAGTTATTGTGCCATCTCTTCCTTGATTCCTAATTATCTCATCAAATTGCTAGATCCTTAGAAACCTTCACTATAGCTGCCCGCACATGAAGCATCATTCAGGGAAGTAAACATTTTAAGTTTTTACAGAAAAGAGAAAATGTCGATTAGAACAATGCATCCCTAGTTCAAGGCCAATGTGAACCAGAATTTTGAAACTCCTATCACCTCAAGCGTACTAAACAAATAAAGAGTCCTAACTTGGAATTGTGGATGCCTCTAGGGGGCACAGGTTTCAGTCGCTATTCTGAAGCTGAATTAGCCCTCACCTTGATAGTCTCTCTCCTCCCTCTTTGGGTATGTGTTCCCTGGGGCCTGGAGGCCCATTGATGGTCACCAAACACGTGGGCTTTCTGTTTGTGTGTTCCTCTCCACTTGGGCAGGAGAAACACAGCTGCATTGAGCAATTTTGTGTGAAAGATTTCCTAACGACACCCACAGCTCTTCATCTGCTCTTCAGCAGGGAGCTGGAGCCTGGAAGCAGCAGGCTGCCAGCCCGTTAAGGACTGAGCGCTCCTATTCGGATCCTTATCTCTTTGGCGGCACAGACATGCTTATTAGCCATCATTATTGTCTTCAGGGACATTTTACTCTATCCGTTTCCTAGGTGGCTTTGAGGAGCCTTCTGTATTAATCAGGGGCAGGCTAACTATTATAACAAACATCTCCCAAATCTCAGGGTGGAATACAAATGCTTATTTCAATGGAATACAAATGCTTATTTCTCACTCAAGTCACAGGTCAATGTGGAATGGGATCTGGGGGATAGGAGGGGCCTGGGGGTGTTTCCCAGACCCTTCCGTCTTCCACCCAGTTCTAGGTCCTTGGTGTCCTCTCCATTTGGTTAGAGACTGGGGACCCAGACAGAGCATGGATTATTATGTGGGAAGCTTTTCTGGCTCAGGCCTGTAGGTGGCACCCTTCATTCTGCCCAAGTTCTTGGCCACGCGGACACATCCATGTGCAGGCAGGGCTGAGGTAGGTAGTCAGGCTGAGCGCCCCGAAGGGAAGGGAGCTGTGGCTTGGAGAGCAAACAACAGTCTCCTCTTCACATTCTGTTGCCCCAAATTTTCTATCTTTTCTTATATTAGCAATTTTTGGCAAATAGGCTATTTGTAAGGAATTCACCCCAGTAAGGAGCCATGTGTTCAGTGTGGCTTTTTTATTCTATCTCCCAAAGTCTCTCCTTTCACCATCAATACCTACCATCACTTGTGATTCACTTAGGGTTTTGTTTGCTTGTTTCTCTCAACTCAGTCCATAACCAAGTTCAAAGTGTCTCCATCAGAGGAGCGGCTCCCATGCCTCTAGGGGTCAGGGAGATAAAAGGACAGACTGTAATGGGATGAACATAAGAGAAAGTGAATTGTTGAGGCTGCTAAAAGCAGAGTGTGCACGTGGGCGGAAAGGAGGCGGCTGCCGTGCGGCCCCTGCCCATTGCCGCCAAGAATGAAGGTGGCCGGGGCGGCAAGAGCTTCTGCTTATGTAAGACGCAGAAACTCAGATTTTTAAGTAAAATGTCCTCGTTTGTAAATGTTGGCCACTAACTAAACTGTCTTTAAACCTCTGAGCAGGCCGTTCAAAACACATCTGAGGGCTAGACACAGCTGGTAGGCTGTCATTTGCAATTTCTATTTTAACTTTTCTGCCCTGGAGCAAAGACAAGCTCTCAGAAGAAATCAGAGCAGGAAGCCCAGCCTCTACACACAGGCCTGGTCCTGAGGGTTCAGGGGCTCTCACCTCTGCGAGGGTAGCTAACACTCAGAATTCTGCATGTCGAGCACCCCGTTATTTCTTCACAAATGTTACAAATACAGGATGTATGTGAAAAAGTCAAAGTTCTTTTTCACGGATAAAAACGAAAGGGATGGTGAATCAGACTGATGCTACTTAGTCAGAAACTGATATTTGTGTGTGTGTATGTGTGTGTCTGTGTGTGTGTGTGTCTCTGTGTGTCTGTGTGTGTTCACATGGTCAATGGAGCTTGTCTATACTTAAAGTGGTATATACTTTAAGCTAAATTAGCAAGAATGCCTGGTGGAAATACATAATTTTATAGTGTTTTGTTTTTAGAATCTTGTCAAGGGGTGAAGAATGGAAGGGAAGGGGATGGAAAAAGTAAGGAGCACAAGAAACAATACAATGGAAAATATTACCTTAGGAAACCGCTTAGTGGAACACAAAAAGACGGACAGGAATAGAAATGAAAACGGGAGCGGTGGGCCCACCGGGAGATTTTCGAGCAATGGTTGGGATGGGCTTGCAGTGGAGGGAGTTCCTACTTCTCTAAGCAACAAAAGCAAATCCCAACATCCTTCTTTAGGGATAAAATGAGCCAGGAATGCCTCACAGGAGGTGGGAGCAGATGACTTTAATGATCCTTGGCACACTGAGACTCTGGGACCACCGGGATAGAATTTGCAAAGAGCGAAAAGGTTAAGATGTGGCATAAAGTAAGTCCCAAATTAAAAGAACATGGAAAAACATTCAAATAAATACAGAGACCCTTAAGAGGAAGGATGTGAATTAACACAGGGATAGCAGATAAGAATTCATAGGAACTTGAGGTTAAGGACACCAAATATTATAAAGTTATAGAAGAAACAGAAAAAAAGTGAGTGGGTGTGTGTCTGGAAGGAGGAGATTGCTTCTAGAAGCCCATGCTATACATAACCAGACTTCACTGGAGGTCTGACCTTTGTGCACTTGCCAGTCATATCTTTTCTTGCTCAGTAGCCACGTCTGTTATCCTTGTATATTGTCCCTAGCTCGGGTTTCCAGCCTAAGATCCACAATGTACATTCATAGCAGATGCAGTCTTACTTAGTGAGTTTGGTGGAAGTATTTTGTTTTTATTCACTCACCAACACTTCTTTCAAGCATCACTTCTCACAAACAGAAATTTTGCACGTGTCTGATGTACCGTGGGGAGGTTTCATTCTGTAAACGTCTTCCCTACAATAAAGCTTCAATTTGAGGCGGCTTTCCTTTTCTGAGACACTGGTCTGCTTTTAACACTAGAACAATAAAACTTTGTATTTTGTAACTAGCCACTTTACAGAGTAAATCTTTGCAATAGTGTTTTCAATTTCTTGAAGTTTTTCTTATCTATACTTAATTTTTAAAAGTATATCATGAAACTTAGCATAGGCCTGGCCCATGGTGACATGAAGCATCAGTAATTGAAATGTAAGTCATCAGCTGTGATTTGTTTCATACATCTCATTTTAACCAACTAGGTTTTCTTTTCTGCAAATAGAGAGCTAAATATTTTAAATCCCTATATATTTGTGGAGACTTTGGAAATTGCTTAAGTTTCATTGGCTAATGATACAAATTTCTGGTAAATATATAAGAACTTTATAATGGCAGGATATTCATTCTAAAAGCTTCTGTGAATAAAAGGAATTTCCATGATGAATTTGAGGCTCAATCCCACTGATATTTTTTTTTCTTTCTTTCCAGAAGTTCTATTACCTTTATTTTTTCAAGGCACTGAAGGGAGTAAAAACAAATCAAAGATAAACTAAAACTTAGGGTAAATCTACATTCCTTTAGTTACATGCCAAATTTGATTAAGGCAAGTGAACTCTTCTGAAAGGAATAGACAAGTAAAAAATGCCAAAGAAAGGGAGAATTCACTTACTTTCACCCGGCTAATTCTGTCCACACAGTAACAGTGCTCGTAGTGCCGTGGGCGGATCTCCACCTATGGTTCTGATTGTTCTACTTGGACTCTCCTGAAATACCCAAGGTCCCCACACAAATTTGGGTTCCTTTTTAGTTGCCATTTGGGATTAAGAAGCCAAAGGAGAAAATGAGGAAGTGCATAATCCCCCAAACCAAGCCACCACCGTCAACCCCACTAAAGAACAACAGATCCGAACCAAAGAGGGGAACAGAGGCGTCTAAGGGACAAAGAGGAGCTACAAAAGGCCCGGGGAAAGCCACCACGCTGCCCGGCTCCCTGGGCTCTGTGCAGCCTATGGCTGCTTGAGTTCATCTCTGTTCCAGCTCAGGTTTCCAGCCCACACAGGAAACACCAACGCAGCTAGAATGACAAAGGAATCCTGGCCACTGATGCTAGAGTGAAACAAGTTCAGTGTGTTGCCTTTGCAGCAGTAAAAAACATACAGCCGCGGAATTCCCACTTTATAGGAAATTCCTCCTCTATAAGAATTCTCCCTAAAAATGAACACTAGAAAAGAAAATATAGAAGTACTTGCCAAGAATGGGAAGGCCTGAGATTGTATCATTTTCCTTCACTAAGGTATTAGATTCAAGAATGTCTGAACTGCGTTCGGTGCTGGTTTCTAGCTTGTGTTTAACCTCTGGGTGCGTTAAGCAAAGAATGGCTGCTAATCATGGTTAACCCAATAAAATCTGGCAGCTTAAAAATGTTGACACTATTTTGAAGATATGAACTCCAAAAACATAAAGACTGGGTATAAATTTAAGCAATTATCTCAACAATCATTTTTATTAGTATTGTTTAAATTAATATTCAATAACATTATGCAATAGTAACGGCCTTGTAAGATGCTTATATTAGCTTAGTTCAACGAAATTTTGATACCTCCATAGTGTCGATTTTATGTAAATTCTTGAGATTGTTTGAAAAGTTTTGGAACACTTACCAATTTAGAATTTGGGGCTAAATAGTATTCTTGGTGTTATACACATTTTCAAAGCTCCTGCCAATGAACCTTGAGAGTCAACTTTGTGGCTCTAACAGGATAGCCTGGCTACTCATCCACTCTTAACCAAGGTGCAAGTTTTTAGTCTAGGAAGGTTCTGCTCTCCTGCAGAGCACACTGCTGTGAGGGGAAGAGGTTCCACTGCCTGACAGGCTAACCCCTTCCAGGGTTGCAGATGGCACTGCCAGATCACCCTCAGTCTGCTGAAGAGGAAAATATATGGCTAAGACACATGCAACCCTGATGCAAAGGGCGTCAAAGAAAGTTTGCCTTTTTCATTCATTAATTTGCTCATCCATTCCTTTATGCTTCACTCATGAGATGTTTACGAATGTCCGCTGTACGTCCCTCCTCTGCTCAGAGCTGTTAAAAAACAAAATATTCAGTTGAGTAAATTTGAAAATCTAAACAATTCGCTAATTGAGCATCATCCCATCTAGCAATTAGAAGGGCGCTCTGAGGAGTTACGCAACATGGAGAGTTTTCATAGGCAGAGGAGGCGGGGAGTAAGGAAGTTATTACGGAAGAAGAGAAAGGATTGTTTCAGGCCTGGACATCTTTCGGGGGAGGGCCTGCAGGGGTTTTCTTCTGCAGATTCCCTGGCTAGAGCTAATCAGGGAATTTCAGACTCACTGTTAGAAAGGCAACATTCCTGGGAGAGTTTGAAGCTGTCATTAAGTTTTGGTTTGCTGTTGTGGGGGCAAATGACTCCACTTGGGGCCTATTATTTCTTTTTTTAAGGGAGTTGCAGACACAATTCTGAAAAGTAAGGAAGAGAAAAAGAAAGGAAGAGGAGAAGAAGGAGCAGAATAGGAATAAGGATAAAATGGCAGCAGATGAATAATTACTGGGCATTATTATATGTCATGTGCTGAGTGCGTTATCTGCTACCTGCGAGGTGCATTATCGTATTGAATCCTCTCAACTCCTTGAAGTAAATATGTTCCTGATTCCCACTTTTCGGATGAGAAAAGTGAGGTCCACGCAGGGTAAGTCAGTCCCGCAGCTCAAATGGCTGGTAAGTGACTGACCTTGTTTTAGAAGCCAAGAATCTCTGATTCAAGAGGCAGCATCTTATTATGGTAAAAAGCAGTCTCTGGAAACAAGTGCCAGGGTTCAAATTCTGGCTCTGCCCCTTCCTGGCTCTGTAGCCTTGGGCAAGATCAACTGCCTCTGACTCAGTGCCCCTTGGAGTCGTTATGAGGTAGACCTGTTAGTGTGTGTCAAGCACTCAGATGGACACCTGGCGCACAGTATGCACTATGAAGTGTTTTTGCTTTTGGAGCCCATGCTCATAACTATCCCTTTCCTGTCCTCATGGAGCTTAGAGTCCAGCAGAGACTCGAGACCCACAGATAGACCATTCTAGTGCAGTGTGTTAAGGGCTCAGACAGAAGCATGCAATGGGCAGTGCCAATGAACATGCTGGTCTGGACTCCAGATTTGGAGGTTCAGGGACTCTTCCTAGAGCAAGTGGATGTAAATGGAAAGACCCGAAAATGGAGGAGGAGCGAACCAGCCGAGAATCTGAGGAGCTGGGATATGTGGTCAGGCAAGGCTAATTGTTTCCGAGAAACATAAGTTTAAAAAAGTTAATTCAGGGAATTATTGCAAGTCTTTACTAATGTTTTCCTGACTATTAAAGCAGGAAATAGCACACTTGACAATTATACTGTAAATAACATTTACAAACATATGCTAATTATTGAATCTGGAATTAGCATTTCAAACACCAAGAGTTTTTTTTCCCTTTTTTTCCTCCCCAAAGCCCCCCAGTACATAGTTGTATATTTTCAGTTGTGGGTCCTTTTAGCTGTGGTATGTGGGATGCCGCCTCAGCAAGGCTTGATGAGCGGTGCCATGTCCATGCCCAGGATCCGAACCGGTGAAACCCTGGGCCACTGAAGCATGCAAACCCAACCACTCGGCCATGGGGCCAACCCCAAACACCAATAATTTTTAAAGTATTTTTGATAACTATTGATTGATATTAAACATTGTCAATATCAACACTGTATATTAAGAATACATAGAAATGTCAACTTTCTCATTCTTCTCCTGTTGCCTACTAGTCCTTTTTTGTCCTTCTTGCCTCTGTCCCCTCAGGTCCCCCCGGCAGTCCCCAGTGACAGTATTCATATGAGGTTTAGGTGCCTGCTATAAACCTCTTTGTCATTTCAGCATGTCTAACACCCCAGCGAGGCCCCACTGGGGAGAAAAGACAGCGTAAGCGACGGGAAGCAAGAGGAAAGAAGGTCTATTCAGGACAACACGGGACTGTCTGGTTCTTCTCTGGCACGTTCTGGTGTTTGTAAGGCTTGCTCAGCACTCCTGCTCTGCACAAGGGACGCTGCTCTTGCGCTCGTCATTTTCTTACTTTCTACAAAAGCATCTCAATATTCAAAATGTAGTATTTTCATTCAAAACAAAATTAAGCATATAATATGATTTCAGTCGAGGGTATTATGGGCTCCAACCTGATCCTAGATCTAAAAACCCAAGCATAGGAAACCCTTGCTTCTTCACCTTTCAGCAAGCGAGAGCATGGCATTTAATCCCTGAATCTGGGGTTACACCGTCCACACGAAAGCAAAGCAAGGCAGACAGCGCTTTTGTCAGCCCCGGTTGTCAGTCCCTGACAGCTGTAAGAAGAAAGACGTGCCACCCTCCCCGCAGCAGCAGAAAGGCTAACCCTCAACATTTCCAATATGAAATTTCAACCCCACAGAATGAATTTTTAAATTAAATTTAACTTGTTTTGCTAAAAAAAGAGCTCTGCTTTTTACAAATCCCTCAAGGACAGAGTACCTCTTGTGAATGCTGCCTCACTTTTTGTAAGATGTCTCACCATCTCACGAGGGCTCCTGCTTCGCTGTTTGTGGCTGAGGCAGCGAGGCGGGAAGCGCACACTGTCATATCTGGGGGATGCTTCTGCTGTCTGTGAGGTCTTTTAAGTGTGGCGACAGTCATAACAGTCTTTATCTCTACTTTCTGTGATTGCAAAGAAAGAAAGCCTTGTTTGCAAAGTCTAGACAGGGCCCTGTTTCTTTTTCTTGAACTTTCCATGCTTTTGCTCATTAGAAAACAAACTCATTTGAATCTCCTTTCTTTTAGTGGAACCTAATAGTACACTTGCAAAATCACAGTATAATTTTGTGAGCTATATTCAAAAACTGATTACACCCTACTTGACCAATTTTTTTTTTCCGTAAGAGAACCTAGAAATGTCTCACAATATAAATATGAAAATGCTCCAGGCCAAAATATATAATTGTTTTAGCCATATTTTCACTTGTAAGGCACAGTGCACTGAAATTGTATTCTTGATATTTCCACCCTATTAATCTCTATAAATACAAACAGTGAGAATAGAACCAGGATAACTAAGGAGGGTAGATGAGTGGATGATCCTTCTCTCCTTTGAATATCTTTAGGATTGCTGCCCATATACTTCATAGTGGCAACTTACAGCCAATCCATGGGAGCATTGGGAGCCATGGGTGGCCCGAGACACAAAGCACAGTTGGAGGATGTGTATTTGGGGTGCAAATAATCAGTATTATTAAGATATCCATTATTGTCCTTTGCAGTTGACACTGCTGCCCTTACAGAGTACGCTGATCCTACATGAAATGGCCCCAGACTCTAATTTTCCTATCACGACGCCTACTTTATAGCTGTGCTGTTTCCTCTTGGGCTATCGCAATGTCCACAGTCACTGCTTCCTAATATTTTCAGTTTACCTTTTAAGAGTCCTTTCTGAGGTGGCGGTTCTTAATCTATTGTAGATTTCTAAGAGAAGCGCTGGTGTGCTGAAGATTTGTGACTTCTATTTTGATGCTCAAGAGCCTCTTTTTGCTTTGTGCCTGATTCTCAGTGGTGATCTGGATAGTTGAGGGTTTCGGGTAAATGAGGGTTTTCTATAGGAGGCTACAGGGCTTGAAATGGAAACCATTCCTGAGAGTAGGCCATTCTGAACATGAAAGTATGTTTCCTATTAAAATAATCTGGCTGTCCATATCTTAGGCATACCAAAGCTAAAATTAATTCTCATTCTTCTTTGACATGAATTTGACCAAAATCAAATGTTCTTACTATGAAAACATATCCCATATATAACTTTCTTTTTACTTGATGCCAAGTGATTATTAAATTATTTCTGAAATCTTTTACAGATCTCATGTTACAAGAATATGGCTATGGAAATACATGGCTCTTTATTTTTCAACACATATGAATCTGATTTTAGCTAAAAACAAAGCACATATTTCAAGCAAATGAACAAAACATTGAAGCATATGAACAAAAGAACGCTTAAATTATCGTGATTATTCAATCAGTTGTTGATTATGGCAAAACATTTCCAGTATAAAACATGTGTTGAACACGTGCTTGGCAATCTTCCAAAATAATTTCATAGGAAAATCAAGAGGGAAAGAACTCAAAGTGCTTTTCACATTTTTAATACTAAGTTTCTGTTAAGGCTACAACATGGAAATAATATAGAAATATCAAGTAATAGTTAGCTATTCCATTGTCATTCGATCTTTTACATTGAATGCAAATTTTTAAACTTTTGGCAGAAACAGCCAAATCAAAATCTG